TTTTTTTTCCGTGCTTTTTTCTATAATATAAATAATAAATAAATATAATATAAAAAAAAACCAGATTTCTGATTTCAATATTTATAACTTATCGGACTTAGCTCAATAGCTTAGTCCGTTAAGTTATGAATATTAATTCAAAGTCTGGCTATTTTATATAATGATAATAAAATAAAACTTTCATACTTCATTTATCCTATTATTAGCATGAACACGTCGATTGTCTTCATCTAATTTTTCTGCTTGAGCTTTCTTATACCAACCCCTTTAATACTGGCGTAAAGCATCTAACCAATCTCAAATCTCTTTTCAGGTAGAAGTGTAAATCGGCACCAACAATCAAATCAATTCTGGCAGTAAAATTTTGAGAGTGTCTCGATTGTTAGGCTCAAAAAATCTTCATCTACCCTTAGTGCATATTTTTTGGTGAGCATTTTTAACAAAACCTTCATCTCATCTTATAAAAAAAAGAAAAAGAAAAATAGTGAAATCATAAAAGAAAAAATAATCATTAAAAAATCGGTTAAAAATCGTAAAAAAAAATTAAAAAAATAAAAATAAATAATAATAATAAATTTAAACAAATTTAAAAATTACAAAAAAAATAAAAAATAAAAAAATTTAAAAATCATAAAGCAAATGATAAAAATTATAAAAAAAATTAAAAATCAAAAAAAGATAATAAAAAATTACAAAAAAGAAAACAAAAATTGTAAAAAAAAAATCACATAAAAGAAAAAATATTTAATCACAAAAAAAATTAATAAACCCATAAAAAAAAATTTAATCGTAAAAAAATTAATAAAACAGTAAAAAAAAATTTAAAATCATCGTAAAAAATAAATTAAAATAAAAATTATAAAAAAAGAAAAGAATTTTAATTGTAAAAAAAATTAAAAAATCGAAAAAAGAAAAAAAAAGAAGGAAAAGAAATGAAAAAAAAAGAACATAATTCAAAGTTGAACATATAAAATAATAAGTTATAAAAAAGAAAAAATCGTATTAATAAAATAATAAACCATAAAAAACAAATTAAAACTCATAAAAAAAGATAAAAATTGTAAAATAAATTAACATTAATAAATATAAAATAATATAAAAAAGTTAAAAACCATAAAAAAAAACATATAAAAAAAAGTAAAATAAAAATTGTACAAAAAATCGTAAAATTAAAAATCATAAAAAAAATCGTAAATAAAAAAAAAATAAAAAAAAAAAATTGTAAAAAAAAAATCTTAAAAAAAAAATTAATAGTTGTAAAATTTAATATTAATATTACCTAGCAGCTTTCAGATCAAAAGGCCTTGTTTCAGGTAGTGGTAGTTCATGATCAAATGATTCCTTTTCAACTTCACCTTCGCCTTCACTTTCTTTATCACTTTTGAAAATATTGAAACCTGCATGTTTGGACTATATGTCCGATTTTTTATCTAATTTATCATTAATTATAACTAAAGTTTCTATTTTCTTCTTCGCATCTCGATTTGCAGCCTTCAAATCTGAGATTTGGTGTCTTAGCTACGCAATCTCTTTCATGTAAAGTATCATTTTCTACAAAAAAAAAAAGTTAAATAAAATTACAATAAGTGAAAAAAGATTATTAATATTTATTGACTTAATTTCAGAGTTATTATAACTTTGACTATCATTTTTTAATCCATACCACTCGGTATATTGCAATACTGAGTGATATGGATTAGAAAATGGTACCAATAAAAAATCATATTTGAATTTTTTGTAAACCTGCTTCTAGATCTTCAAACGATCTTTGTCGTGGAAGGCTTTGTTGCCTTTGAGGACTTGTACTTCCAGATAACTGAAGTGTAGGATATCATTGCTTTAACGTAGATATAGCCGAAGGAGAGATGATAACGACAGGAGATATAGTGGAAGAAGTTAGACGAATATGTGTTGAAGGTGTTGTGAGAGAAGCAGGTATTGAAGATGTTGTGGGAGAAGTAGCTGAATAGGAGGTCTAGTAGGAGAGGTGGCTAGAATAGGTGTTGAAAGTCTAGCAGGAGAGGTGAGCTGAATAGGTCTAGTAGATGAAGGAGTGTTGATTTGAGACGATTGGCCTGTTTTTCAATGAGTTGTGATTGAAAATAAAGTTTTGGGTAAAGGTAAAGAAGTTTTGGTTAAAGGTGTTGTTTCGATTATGATATGAAGTTGATATTTGGTGATGCAAGATTGAGGTTCAGTGATGTAAGATTGAGGTTCGGTTGTAGGACATTTTGAAGTTTTTTGTGGTTTTTTGATTGTCTTAACATTGTAAAGGAAAATATATATTGGAGAAAAAAATATTAGAGGAAAAAATGCATAAAAAAATAAAGTTACAAAAATATAAAGTTAGAAAAAAAGTTAACATTCGTAAAAAATAGTATTACCTTTTATATTTTTTATTCAAACTCTGATTTATTTGTACTACTGTATTGTATTTATTCTATTATATTAATATTTACAATTTTTTTAAATCTTAGAAATAATTGAATTTGTATGCCAAATATATTCTACTGTCATCATATTTGTGATTCTTAACCTTTTGTCCTTATTTCGTGTCATCATATACATCTGGTGATATCAAGGAAAAATCTGAGTTTATTATACTAAATAAGGGGTTAAAGCCAGGTGTGTTTGGTATAAATTTGGAAATGATCTATATACTGCATAAATTACCTTATTGATACTTATATAAACCACTAACTATTACTGTATTAAAAAAGTATCTTGCTTCAGCCATCTCCTAAATATGTTCTGCTGTAATCAATCGGGTCTTACGATTAAACGAGTTTTATCTTATACAATTAATCGGACTTTGCATCAATCGATTGTATCTTATAATTAATTTTATGCAATCAAATGGATTTATATTACAGAATTCATAGTTAAAATAGTCATACAAAATTTGATATGACGAAATTTATAATGAACAAAATTTAATTTAATCAATATTACAGAATTTATAGTTAAAATAGTCATACAAAATCGATTTGATGAAATTTACAAACAACAAAATTTAATTACTGAATTCATAGAAAAAAATTTAATTTAAGCATCAAAAAAATATGTACCAGGTTGGGATCAGATGATGTTCAGATGATAGTCCAGATTATGGTCTGGAAATTAAGTCTTCGACTATTTGTTTTTAATAATAAAACTTTATTTTTTACGATCATATAAGGCAATATTTAACGCAATCATAGAAATAATACAAATAATTTGAAGTTTTGACATTCTAAAACTCTAATTAGTTTATATTTCTATTTAATCATTTGGTTTTAGTCTATTTGTTTAGCTATTTGGTTGTTTTTTGTGACATCTTCGATAAATTATGTTTTTTTTTTTTAAAAAAAGTAAGGTCTGGCCTCAATAAATTATATACAGTCGACTCTGGATATAATGAACTCAAAATTTTGGACTTTCATAATAGTTCAATATAAAAAATACCATGTGTTTTTAATAAAATTTGGTAATTTTCTATAATGAACTTTTTTTATTAAGAATTTTTCTTTATAGAAAGAGTTAACAGCACTCCTTTTGTGATTAATCTTTTATTATACCTCTTCATTTTAGATTAATATTTTTTTCTGTACACGAATTTTTTTAAATTGATGAGACAAAACTTTAATTTTGACCTATTTTGACTGTGATAAGGAAACTTGACAAAACCAATAAAGCATTAACTTTCTCACTATTAAATATTTTGATTTTTTTTCGAAATATTCTATACTGTAAAGAAGTTAGTTAATATCACCAATGATACATTTAAAAAACTTTTCAATAGGTATTATATGCTTATTTAGATCTTTATCGCTATGTAATTTTTAAATAAATTTGAACTATTATGAATAAAATACAAACCAATTTCAATATCATCTTTAAATTGCTGAACATTGCAATATTCAACCTGATACTTATAAGCTAACAGAAATATTTGTTAAAGTGGCATAGATAGGTTTGATATATTCAATATTTATTTAGGTTTCAATTTGATAGTTTTTTGTAATTAACGAAATAATAAATTGCTCACAATATTAAAACTGTGTCTATAATATATTTGTTTTTTTTTTTTTTTTGCAGGAAAAAAAAACAAACGAAAATATTATGCTAAGTTAATGCTAATTACAATATTGATTATTAACTTTTTATATGAATATGTACTGTTTAATATTATGAAATACATAATTTTGGTTTTTAGTTCTAAATGTTCTTATAATTCTGATCTATCTTTCCAGACGATCATCCAATCCTAACCTGGTACATATTTTCTGGATGCTTAATTTAATCGATATGACGAAATTTGCAATTAGCAAAACTTAATTTAATTGATACTACAGAATTCATAGCTAAAATATACATGCAATTTTTTTAATCAATATAACAGAATTCGTAGTTAAATAGTTCAAATGCTGAAATTCTGCATAAATTATAAAAAATATAGATTAATTATTTAGTTCTAATATCGTCAAATTATAGACAAAATTTTAATAAATATATAGTTTAAATATATTGTAAAATTTGTATATTAAATATTTATAATAACTTTAATAATACCAAATATTAACGAACTTTTAATAAAAATTATATATATATATTAATTATACAATCAAAAATTCATATATTAGATAATTAATTCTAATGTTATTGAATTAATGTCAAATTTTATAAAATTTATTTTATACACAATAAGAAATTTTTATATACCAAAAACAATTACATTTTTTATCTGAAATAAGTAACTTAATTAATATATTGTTCACGAATAAGAAATAAGTTATTTTTAATGTATTAATAGATAATGTATTGTCATGTTATTAATTTATAATAAATAAATATATATCTTTGAATTATATAAATATCGGCAAGTTTCGTTAAAAAAAAAATTATTGCTTTTTGCAAATTTCATTTTTAATTGGCAAGTTTTATTTAAAAAAAAACTATTGCCTTTTTTCAATTTCACTTTTAATCATCAAGTTTCGTTTACAAAAAAAGCTATTGGCTTTTTTTGCAAATTTTATTTTTAATTATTAATAATAAACATATCATCAAGAAAATGCTCTATTTTATCTTTATTAAATGAAGATGCAGCAAAACCTTCACATACAAATTCAACAAATTAAAGAAAAAAAGTTATCTGTAATTGCAACAAGTGTAATGGATCACTTGTCGATTATAGAATGAAAGATGCTTATAAAAATAGGATACAACAATCATCAAAAAAGCAAAGTTCAGATTTGTCTTTTAACAAACTCGCGTTATCATCACAAAAACAATTGGAAAGTCCACGTTCTTCACAAGATATCACAGAAGTTGAAGTCTCTGACACTCCAGCATCTGTTGTGGATGAATTTACGTTTTGGCCCAGAGTCAGAAATCTGGTATTAAATAGGTTGATATCTTTTAATGTTGGTTACAAAAGTTCAGCTATCGAAGAATTTGGCTTAAACTCGGCAGAAAACCAAGACTTGAATGATAAACCACCTGATATATATAGCGAAGATAATAACTTTTCAGAAAGTAGTACAGAATTTGGTGAAAATTCAGGTAATAACAATATTTTTGAAGACTATTTGGCTTCTGATTTTGATTCTGAAATGCCACCAGAGCCTGACAATTTATTTACGAACGATCGATTTATGTAGATATTATTGTGGATCATGAACTTCAAAATAATGTATAATATATCAGAAAGTGCAATTGAAGCACTTTTAAAATTTATGAAATTAGTTCTAATTGTAGTCAGTGGTATGGAATTTAATAATTTTCCTATATCTAAGTATAAAGTGAATAAAGCACTTGGATTGTCTGATAAATTTGTTAGTTTTGTAGTATGCTCTAAATATTATAAACTATACAAAGAGAATGAAATTATTAAGTTTAAGCATAATAATCGAGTGTCAATTAAGAGTTGTACCCATAGAATTTTCTAAATCAGAAATTAGAAAAAAGAAGATTTGTGATACTAATTTATCTACACAATCCAAGTTGACAGATGGGAAAATTATAAATCAGCCAGAGTTGATTTTTCCTTTCAGCCCAATTAGACATCAATTGGCTAATATGTACCAATGTTCTAGGTTTGAGAATAGTTTTCAGCATTGGGTAGATCGTTCAAGTTTTAATGATATTTTATGTGATATTTACGATGCTGAAATTTGGAAAACCTTTAAATATGAACCATTTGACGAAGATTCAGCATTATTTTTTTGTAATGAAAAGGCAGATTCACATTTGGGTTTAATAGTAAACCTTGACTGGTTTCAACTATTCAATGGTATATCACATAGTACTAGTATATTATATACATCCATAGCGAATCTGCCATGTGATATTTGATTTAAGCATGAAAATATATTAGTTTTAGGAATATTACCTAGGCCAGATGAAGTGAGCTTACATAAAATAAACTACTATCTTTCTCCAGTTGTTGACGAATTGGAGTCTCTTTGGCATGGTGTGAAATTAACTTTATTAGCCGAATTTTCAGAAGGAAGAACAATTCGTGTGGTATTGATACTAATTGTATGTGATGTTCTAGCTACTCGGAAGTTATGCGAGCATGTTTCGGTATTAGTAGCATGTCATCGTTGTGAGAAAAGTGCCAATTATGTTAACAAACGGTTTAATTTTGGCAATATACAAAATATAGATGAATGGTTTATTCAAAAAGATTTGGCAATACATTGGCTAAAGGCTCGTGAATGGAGACATTGTAATTCTGATACTGAAAAGAAGCATTTTGTTAAAGACAATAAAGTTCAATAGTCAGAATTACTTCGCCTAAACTATTTTAATCCTATTCGTCATACTATTATTGATCTTATATATTGCCTGTTCTTAGGCAATGCTAAATGGATTGTTAAATGAATATGGATCGATAAAGGCATATTGACGTCTAATATATTCACAAAAATCTAATTGAATATGAATAGGATCCAAGTTCCATCGAATATTGGCTAGATTCTAGGGAAATTGAACTGCAGAGAAAGATTTTTGAATTTTATAGCCGATTAGTGGCAAAATTTTTTTATAATTTATACTACTATTGTTCTCTGGGAATACCTTTCGGATGATGATTGGCAAATTTTAACACAATTTGTAAAATTTGCCAGATCTTGATATTCAGAATACTAAAATACAACCTAATGAATAAAACACACAAAAGGTTGATTAAATTAATAAAGCTAATTAAAGAAAATATAGGCCTGAAAAAATTACTCCTAATCTGCATCTTTCACTACATTTATGTGAATGTGCTTAGAATTATAGTCCACTGTATTCCTTTTGGTATTTTTTATTCAAAAAGATGAATGGAATATTAGGGTTTTTGCCAAATAGTCATCGAAAAATAGAACCAGAATTAATATAAAAATTAGTGAATAATAGTTGTATAAATTATAAAAAAATTTTGCCACTA